CGAGCCCGAGCGGGCGTCCGACACGTGCAGCTTTCTCGGGATGGAGCTGAGGCAGGGCCGCTGGCTGGCCATCAAGGGGCGCATGGTCTGGAGGCTGAAGTTCGCCATTGAGGAGCTGTTGAGGCGCGGGCGCGCCTCAGGTCACCTCGTGCGCGTGCTGGTGGGCCACCTGACCTGGGCCTCGATGGTCAGGCGAGAGGCGCTGGGGCTCCTCAACGCCACCTACGCCTTCATGCTGGCCGCGGGCTCGGTGGTGCAGACGCTCTGGCCCTCCGTGCGCACGGAGCTTTGGCGCGCTCGCTGCTTGCTGCCGCTCCTGGTGGCGGACCTCACGGCGCCCTGGGCCACGCGGCTCGTGGCGAGCGACGCCAGTGAGGAGGGGCTTCGAGTAGTCTCATAGCTAGCTCTGGGCGGCTGTGCGAGCGGTGGCGGTATCGTGTGGAGGGCGGGGCGCGTGCGAGAGATCGAGCGCTCCTCTCCGCTGCTCCCGCCTGCCCGCCTCGTGCCTCGTCGTCAGATGCAGGTCTTTGCGAGTCAGAGGGGAGGGAGGTCTCGGTTGATCACAGTCAGTTGAACTTCGTCTCGGCTTCGCCTGGCACGCTGGACCCCTACGAGATTCCCGAGGACCCCGACACGGAGCTCCACAGCGAGGACCCCCTGATCTTGGATCTCGGCAAGAAGCTCAAGGAGTTCGACGAGGTGCCCATGGGTCTCTTGGATGCTAAGTCTTGGAAGGGTGTGGTTGCCACGAAGGTCCAGGAGGGCCAGAACATCTTGGGATTGGATGCAGACGCCTTGGTTGTCGCTTACAAGCATCTTTTGAGGTCTTCAGCCTGCCGAGGGAAACGGGTTCTGGCACTTGTCGATAACATGCCTTTGTGTCTAGCCGTTGCGAAAGGAAGAGCATCCTCAGCTTATTTACTTCCACTGTTAAAGATTTGTATGATGTCGCTTGCCACAGGAACGAGATTGCACTGTAGATGGATTCCGTCAGAACGCAACCCCGCCGACGCTTTGTCTCGAGGGCGCCGCACCTGGTTTTCAGATTCCGACGCCCGTGCAGCGCCACCTCTGGCGCATGGCGGCGAGGCGCCGCCAGGCTGCTGGTCGCCCGGCAGTCCTTCGCCGACCTGCGAGGAGGCCGCCGCCAGCTGCCTTGGAGGCCCGGGGCAGGCGAGCAGCGCTGGCCGGCCGCCTGATGGCCGAGCGGCCGCCGCTCGGGCGGCTCAGCGCCCTGGAGACGCTTGCGGTGCGGTCCAGCACGGAGGAGCAGTATCGGCGCGTCCTGACAGAGTTCACCGCCTTTTGCTCTGCGAACCACCTGGACTGGAAGGACTTCGACCAACTCGACTCAGTGGCTACTCGCTTTCTGAACCGACAGTTCGAGCTCGGGGCCCCTGCCAGCCAGGGCTCGCTGCTGCTGGCGTCTCTGGCGCACTTCTTGCCAGGCCTCCAGGGCTCGTGGAAGGCGCAGCTGCCGCGGGCCACCAGGAGCTCGGTCGCGTGGGCGAGGCGCGTGCCTTCAATGACCCGCGTGCCCCTGCCGTACTTTGCAGCGGCAGCGCTTGCCGGGCTCTTGGCCATCAGCGGGCGTCGCCGCATGGCTCTCTGGATCCTGCTGTCGTTCAGCTGCTACCTGAGGCCGTTCGAGGCGCAGGGGCTCCGCGGCGGCTCGCTAGTGCGCCCGGCAGCGCAGGCCGCGGCCTCGGCGGCCAGCTGGGTGCTGCTTTTGCACCCAACCAGCGGCGGCCGCCCAGGCAAGACAGGGTTGTACAACGAGAGCGTGGTGATCGATCTCGACCGGCACTTGTGGCCGCTGCCTGCCGGCCTCAGAGGCGCCGTGGGCCTCGACCAGAGCCTCTGGGACTTCACCCTGCCGGCGCTGCGCGAGCGCTTCAGGGAGTTTGCCGATCTGCTGCAGCTCCAGGCCCTCAACCCGACCTTGTACGCGCTGCGCCGCGGCGGGGCGAGCTGGGACCTGCTGGAGGGGAGGAGAACCTTGGAGCAGACGCAGAGGCACGGCAGGTGGGCTTCGCCGGGCAGCATGAAGCGGTACGCCAAAGAGGCCTACCTCCAGGATGCCATGACCAAAGTCCCAGATTGGGTCTTCGGGTTCGGCCGCTTCGTGCATGCCAACCTGCTAGAGATTGTCGAGCTGGGGCCCGCCCTGCCGCAGCGTCCGCGCCTGTGGCAGCAGCTGCCCGCGCCCGTGCAGGCGCTGATCGCAGCCGCGCTGCCGTAGCTTCTCCTGCTCAGATTCAGCGTCATTTGAAGCGGCTGCTCGCCGGCCAGCTCAAGTCTGCCCGCAAGCGGCAGCACGGTGTCTTCTTGGAACTTTTTGGTGGGACTGGTCAGGTCGCCAAGGCCCTGCGGGCTGAAGGATTTGGAGCTCTCAGTTTAGATCTATTGCATGGCCCCTGTGAGGATCATCTTGACAAAACTTTTGAAAGGCTCGTTTGTGGCTGGATCAAGGGTGGCCTTGTCTTGGGAGTTTTCTCAGGCACTCCGTGCACGTCTTAGACACGGGCCCTTCGCAGACCTCTTCGCGATGCTACCTCACCAATGGGACTGCCCGGTCTCTCGGAGAGCGAGTCTGCTAGAGCTCGTATAGGTAATGCGACCCTTCACTTTTCGTGCCGCGTGATAACGTTGGCCAACCTCTTTAGTGTGCCAGTCCTGCTAGAGAATCCGCAAACTTCGTTGCTCTGGGCGGCGCCGCGTCTCGCTCGCCTCAGTGCTCAACCCGAATCCAGCTGTGTAGTGTGCCACCTCTGTCAGTATGGTGCTCGCTGGCGTAAAGCCACTCGATTGCAGGGATGGAACATCTCCAGCATGCAGCCGCTTACTCGTAAATGCAGTGGAAAGAAAGGGATTTGCTCTCGCACGGGCGAGCATCACATAGAACTGTCAGGGACAGCTCCAGGCGGCCGAAAGTGGACCAGCCTGGCCGCCGCCTACCCTTTGCCCTTTGCTCGATCTGCTGCCGCTGTCCTGGCGCACTCTTCCGAGCAGATGCACGGTCTTCGTCTAGTTGACATCATGTGTTCGTGAATTTCAATCTTCTTTCAGTAGCCCCTGGGGCTCCGGCCGTAGGCCAGTCTGCCCGTTTGGGGGAACGGGAGTTGTGCTTGCTTATGTCTCAGAGGGGCGCTTGACCGCCCCAGTTTAGCTCGCTTCCCATGGTTGCCGTTCGCGCATGCACACGAGAAAATGAGGTCTCATCGAGACAGCTTTCGCTGCATGGCCGCCCAGGAGTGTCCGCACTTGCTATATATATATATATATATATATATATGTGTGTGTGTGGGGGGGGGGGGGGGGGGGGGGGTGTGTCTCTATAAATATATATATATAGATAGAAGGGCAACGGACTTGCAACTGAACAACGGGACTCGCAACTGAACAACGGGACTCGCAACTGGCAACAAGGACTCGCAACTGGCAACAACGGACAACGGGACTCGCAACTGGCAACAACGGGACTCGCAACTGGCAACAACGGGACTCGCAACTGGCAACAACGGGACTCGCAACTGGCAACAACGGGACTCGCAACTGGCAACAACGGGACTCGCAACTGGCAACAACGGGACTCGCAACTGGCAACAACGGGACTCGCAACTGGCAACAATGGGACTCGCAACCAACAACGGGACTCGCAACTGGCAACAACGGGACTCCGAACTGGCAACGACGGGACTCGCAACTGGCAACAACGGGACTCCGAACTGGCAACGACGGGACTCGCAACTGGCAACAACGGGTCTCTCCCTCTTATTCCGGCTCCCTCCCATTATGGTTTGCTCCCATTCCGATATATTTTTCCGATTCCCTCCCATTTCTCTTCTTATTCCAGTTCTTTCCCATTCCTTCCATTCCAGTTCTCTCCCTCCTATTCCGGCTCCCTCCCATTCCGGTTTGCTCCCATTCCGATATCTTTTTCCGATGTCCCTCCCATTTCTCTTCTTATTCCGGTTCTCTCCCATTCCTCCCATTCTGGTTCTCTCCCTCCTATTCCGGCTCCCTCCCATTCCGGTTTGCTCCCATTCCGATATATTTTTCCGATGTCCCTCCCATTTCTCTTCTTATTCCGGTTCTCTCCCATTCCTCCCATTCTGGTTCTCTCCCTCCTATTTCTGCTCCCTCCCATTCCGGTTTGCTCCCATTCCGATATCTTTTTCCGATGTCCCTTCCATTTATCTTCTTATTCCGGTTCTCTCCCATTCTTCCCATTCCGGTTCTCTCCCTCCTATTCCGGCTCTCTCCCATTCCGGTTTGATTCCGATATTCTGTTCCGATTTCATCCCATATTGATTATCTCTTATTTGGGCTCTCTCCCATTCCTCCATTTCTCTGATTCCGGTTCTCTTCTACCTGTTCCGGTTCCCTCCCAATCTGGTTTGGTCCCATTCTTATATCCTCTTCCGATTCCTTATCATTCTTCTTATTCCAGCTCTGTCCCATTCCTCCCATTCCGATTCTCTCCCTCCTATTTCGGCTCTCTCCCATTCCGGATTGCCCCCATTCCGATATCTGTTTCCGACTCCCTTCCATTCTTCCCACTCTCCCATCCCAGCTTCTTACTTTTTGGCGCTCAGGGCGGCCAGGGGGCGCCGAACATCATAGCTCGGGCTAGAGCTTCGTTAAATCGGATGCTTCGCTTGCAAAGGCAAGCGGCGTCTTGCACCAGTCAGCCCTCCAGGGCAATTAATTGTGCGGAGACGTGGCACTCGCATTATTGTCCGTCCTATTCCTCCTTCTCCCAATCGTTTTCTCTCTGCTCCACTCGTCTTCTACTTCTTCGTCATTCTCCACCTCGTTCTATTTGTCTTATTGGCGTATCCTCATTCCTCCATCCGTCGCCATCGTCACCACTGTCTGCTTGCACAGCGTGTTCTTATCTATTGTGTCTCGCGTTCATCGCCCTCTTCCTCCTGATGCTCAAACCCTTCCCTTCCCTCCCTGTCATTCCTGCACCGTCGCGCCCTCAAGCGGCGCCGTCAGGCGTCGCTCACGATCACCTCGAGCTCCATGTCTTTCTGGAAAACGAAGTCCGGCCCGATGTACGCGTTGTCGATAGCGTCGAACAAGAACAATTTCGTCGGCGTCCTGGCAGGGAACATCACATTTCCTACATCCTACATTCTCCCCTCCTTTGCTTCCTCATGTTTTTTGTTTCGGTTCGACGGTGTGGAAGGCGTTTGATTACAAGAGGCCCCCTCCTGGCAAGCTCCCTCTGCCCCCCCATGGCCGCGAACGCGTTCCCGACATATTCGTACACGGTCTTGGCTGTCGTGCCGCGCGGCGCGCGGACGGTCAACAAGTTGTCCGGGGGCCCTGCATGATGCGGCAGTTCTTGCGGATACACCATGATGCACACTTCGTTATCGGAGTCGCCTTCGTCGTCGTGTATGACGATGGTGCCAGATTGCACGTGGGGCCACTTATCCTCTGGGTCCACTGCTTCTTCTGCCAATTCACCGTCATCGAAGTCGAGGTCTTCGGGCATTGGTGGTGTCATGCCTTCGTCCAGCGACGCTTCGTTGGACGAAAAACTCCCGAAAAGGTCCGCCTCCAAGAGTGTATTCTCGGACTGCGTCGGCGAGTGATCAGCTGGCAATGGTTTTGGTGCTTCGGGCTGACCTCGGCGAGGTGCACGCTCGCGGTGAATTCCGCCGAGGGGGCGGATGCGTTCAGCATCGCCTTCTCCTTCAAGAACTCCACGTCTGCCCCGGCCTCGGCGCCCGCGGCCGCGGCCGCCACTGCCGCGGCCCCTGGACTTCACACCATCGCCTTCGGCATCTCGTTTGCGTTTTCCTCTGCCCGTTCGGCGCGCCCGCACTTCACTTATGGGCAGGTGGCTCGCGTGCCCAAGCTTATGTTGAAGCCATAGCGTGTGCTCTGTCTGGCCGTCTGTGATGAAATTCTGGTGCGTCTCCGTGATGGAATTGTCAGCGCATTGCGTGAGCAGTGTGAAATGACGAGTGTAGTATAATATTTTGAGAACATCGTAATTTTTCTGGCCATCACCCGTTTTGATACCAAGATCACGGAATGCTCGATCTTGGTCGGTTGCCCCCACACCTGTGTGAATAGCATTGAAGATGGTTTCGAATTTGGCCTCGTTGTACTCGTTCCCATCATATTTAGGACAGAGCCACATCTTATTGCCTGATGCATCCTGCTTCTCTAACATGAACTGTCCTTCCTCTGCCATGCGTATGATTCCTTGGGCCGTGAGTTTTCGAGGCCGGTTCTTGTCGTCAGCGGGGCCTGCATCGGCTTTTCGCCCGCGCCCCTTGAGAAGTACATTAGCAGGTCTCGACGGTGGAAGGCCCCCGTGAGCACCATTCGTGATGTAGGGCTCCACGTCGGCGAATTTGTTCTTTTTAAACCATGTTTTCGCTGTCCGCTCCAGGAACTTGAGTTCGTCCAACACATCAGCTGTTTTCGGCTTGTCTTTTGTGCCCATGCCAACTACATTCCAAAACGATTCTATACAGTTTGAGCAATACGCTGAATATGGTGGGAGGACTCGCCCGCCGTAGCTCTGCCATAGCGCACATAGACGCCCTTCTTGTTCATACAAAAGCCACTTTTTGAAATAATTTGCGAACTGTGATTCGTCTTGGTCATGGAGATCTTGCAGTACCCGTTGCCAGAAATGATCGAAAAGATGCGGCGGAAGGAACGCACTCCTGTGCGCGTAGTCGCAGCAGTCAGATCCGTAATCCCTGTGCTTCCAATGCCGCTTCGCCTTAATAATGTCCTATGGGGGGCGGGCGGGAAATCGGAGGAGAAAACAGTTGAAGGCGAAGAACAAGGGGAAGAGGCGACCGAAGGTGGAGGAGGAGAAGAAGCAAGGAAGGAGGAGAGGCGGAACGGGGGATAATAGACAGGGATATGATTTTACGAGGGGGGAGGAGGAGGAGGAGGAGGAGGAGGAGCCAGAAGAGTAGAACGGACAGGGGGGATGGGGATGTGCGATTCTTATGCGTGTCACTCCTTTTTCACGTGCTGCAAACACCGGACGTGGGTCGCATCAGGAAAGCGGCGCCGAAACACATTGGTTAATGCCTTTCCACCATCTAAGTAGACTGCCGTGGTACGTTCGACCAAGTCGACACCGAACTCCTGCATTGCCGCGAGCACACTGTTCACCATTGCCTCGATGGCATCCGCGTCTTCCTCTGGACACGCGGCAGAATTGCGAGCGCATAGCAGATATGAGCAGTTTCGGCAACGCCCGTTTGACGTGTTCGACCTAATGTTTTGATGTTTTTGTCATCGTTCCTATATGTACACTTATCGCAATTTCCCGCCCTACTTCTGTATTCGTTCTTCCCGCTCACGTCCCTCCCAGACCCAGCGTTGCCGAACCTGACTCATTGTAGCTGTTCCTACATACACTTTCGGGCGGCAGGGTTTGTGTTAGCCCCACAGTTCCTCTGGTGCAAACGTGAAGCCAAGAGGAACGAACGTGGTGCTCCATTCCCCGTCTGTGAAGTGTACTCCCAACCATCCGAGTGATACCAATTTGAATTTTTGGACCCCTTTGTCGTGAGTCGCGTCGCAACAGAGGCGGAACTTGTAGTTCTCCCCCTGCTTAGCAGCAAAACCCGCGCACAAAGAAGTCAAATATTTGCATCTCAACACGAGAATGTGCGCATCACGTATTGAGTGTGTAGGGTCCACAACAAGTTTCCACTCGGCATCGTCGGGCTTGGGGGCCCACTCATTGAACGCTGCCTCCCATTGGCTACCCGTGGACTCGCCCGGGCCATGCTCGGACCGGCGGCCTGCCGTCCGGGCATCGTACACGTTCCGCACTGTCGGCAAGGTGCTAGGATCATCGCCAGCGTCGATCCGTTGCTGCATCTGTGTTGCCACAGTAATGGGATTCGCTGCCATTTGTTTCGCCACTGCTGCTTTTGTTTTCCGTGCTTGGCCTTTGGAGATTAGGGGCGCGCGTTCACCCTTCACGGACAAGTGCACCATGCCATGGTGCATTTCGTATTTGAACACAGCTTCGCATAGATCACCATGCTCATTTTCATGTTGTTGGCATTTTACTGATACGTATTCCATGGGTGTCTTGTCAGATGCCTTCTTCACCCTGAATGTGCCGACGTGTACGTGTTTCCCTTTGAGGTCTTCTCTGACGAAATCCTCGAACGGTTTATCGGTTGGGCGCGGCTCGCCCACGGGGACAAATGGTGGCGCAAAGGTTGCATCCACGACTCCATGCACGTCCTGATGTGAATCCAACTCCTCTTCTTTCTCTTCTTTTTTCATTTGCGTGCCATTTGCTGGCAATGCCTGCAGAGCGCCTCCCGATGACGAAGCCGGTGCTTCTGCGCCGCGTCGGCCGCGAGAAGCCGCTTCCTGGCTAAGCGGGGGGACAGAGGAGGAGCAGGGGGCGACGGCAGAGACGAATAAAAATGCCGGCGAATACCGGAGGACGCGGACGACGAGGACGAGTGACAACGACGATAACGACGACAAGTGACGACGAGGAAGATCCATTGCACGTGCAGAACTAGCAGTGTTGTTGCGCACAGAAGCAGAAGCATGACAAAGCAGATTGGCCAGATAGTGAGACAGAGTGGAGAAAAACAGAGAAAGAGAGACAGAGGGAGATACAGAGAAAGAGAGAGAGGGAGAGAGAGAGAGAGAGAGAGAGGGAGAGACAGAGACACGCAGAGACAGGGAGAGACGTAGAGATACAGAGAGAGAGAGATACAGAGATAGAGAGAGAGAGAGAGAGAGAGATACAGAGAGAGAGAGAGGCAGAGAGACAGAGAGGGCGAGACAGAGAGAAAGAGAGACTGAGAGAGCGAGAGAGAGAGAGAGAGAGAGAGAGGGAGAGAGAGAGAGAGAGAGAGAGAGAGAGAGATAACGATAGGGAGACACAGAAAGGGACAATTCGCAAACGAATGTAAGCGCCTGCGGCGACAGCCGTCGACGGTCGTCGCTGCTGTTGGGCGGCAGCGTGCGGGGGGCACCTCTGGACGAAGAAGAGAAGCGGCCGTGGCCTCCATGCGGATCATGCAGGCCCTCCACAGCCAGTTCAAAGTCAACTTCCTGGGAAGCCATGCTTATATGCGCCGGCATAATATTTTTAACATTTCTAATGACAGAAAACATGCGGTTTTGAAGTGTGGGTTTTTTTCGCCGTTGTCCCCGCTTTGTCCTCTTGAGGCGTAAGCCGCCTGCCCAACGACGCCCTCCGCAAGCGTTCGGCCGCGGGCTTGTCCACGGCACTGCGGACAGACAACGGAATAGGTATTTCATTCCGTTCCGATGGCAAGCGCGACCTCCCAGAGCGCTGTCTTGGTCCACGTTCGACTGCGGTGGTAATCTGTGGGGTTTTCGCAAGCCCGAAAGCATTTCTCTTCCCTCTTAAATCGATTTGGTCCCACTTCGACACTCCAGTCGCGGCTTCGATTTTGGCCATATCGCAATAACGCTCCTCGAAGTGTTGCTCCCGTTGTCGCTGTCTGGTTTCTCGATATTTGCTCCCCAACACATACTGCGCGTACCTTGGAATTCCAAACAACGCAAATATTGCGAAGGCCTTGCGGCCGGTGCCGCCGACCCTCAAGGACGACGACGACGACGACGACGATGACGACGACGACGAACGCTCTCGGCGGCCTTTTGGGGGTAGTTTTGGGGCCTCTTGGCTCTTGGGGGCCGCTTAGGACCTTGGCATTGTCTTCCTGTTTGCACGGGCCATTGCCATCAACAGTTGGAGAAGAAAAAGGCACCGCTGCGCCGAAATAGTGTTTCCAATGGAGTCCTTCTGCGGGCCATTCTCTCGGTAATTTGCTAATTGTCGTTGAAATTCTTCGTGGTACTCCTGGAGGGTGGGAGGAAAAAATTAAATAACACCTGCCTAAGTTACGTTGCCACTGCGCTTCAGTCGCAAATCCACCAACAAATGCAACCAGAGAAACATTATCCCTATAATTCCGTCTCGGAGAGCATCCGGTTGAACTGGAGGAACTGCTTCATGCGCGCCTCCTCGAAAGTGTCCCAATCTACGGCGGACCTTGGCGTGCACCGATCGGCAGCGATTGCAAAAATGGTTCGGGCAATGACAAACGATTACAAGCATAGAGACAGATGGCAAGCGTGCCGTAGTTCCTGCATATCAACAAAACGACACCGGCGAGAGGCCTGAGGGCTACGCATATTGGGAAGCGACTCGGGAAGAGGGTGCATGGTGCATCTATGCATCTCTCTCCCTCTCTCTCTCTCTCTCTCTCCCACCCTCTCTCTTTCTCTCTCTCTCTCTCTTTCCTTCCCTCTTTCTCCCTACTTCCCTCTCTCTTTCTCTCTCTCTCTCTCTCTCTCTCTCTCTCTCTCTCTCTCTCTCTCTCCTGTATATATATATACATACATGCGCCCCATATACTGTGGGTAACCATATGATTGCATCTACACCTCAGCGACCATGCCGAAAATTAAGGCTCAAACGTCGAAGTGATGGCAAATGCCACACCAAGCAGAATGCGCATCGCCATCATGTATGGAATATCCTGTCCAACGGAGCGGACCCAGGATAACGCGAAAATGAAACTCGAAAGAGCTCGTTGAAATCGGTCTGAACCTGAAAGTTACTGCGGTGAAAAGACAACGGTAATTGTGGCGACGGTGGTGATGGTGCGCATGGACATTGCAAACCCGATTAAGAAGTCGAGATTTGATCTTCTTGTTGGTATCCTTGCTCTTCTTGATCCCATTGTTCTTATGGGGTGCGGGAGAGACGGTGGGAAGCGGGAGAGACGATGGGGGGCGGGAGAGACGATGGAGGGCAGGAGAGACGATGGGGGGCAAGAAAGACGATGGGGGGCGGGAGAGACGATGGGGGGCGGGAGAGACGATGGGGGGCGGGAGAGACGATGGGGGGCGGGAAAGACGATGGGGGCGGGAGGGCTCTAGGGCTATAGGGTTGTAGGGCTATAGGGCTATTAGGGCTGTGGCTACAGGGCTATTGGGCTGCAGGCTATAGGGCTATAGGCTATAAGGCTATGGGCGATGAGGCTATAGGGCTCTAGGGCTATTCGGCCATAGGGATACAAGGCTATGGGACTATGGGGCTACAGGGTTATGGGGCCATGGGGCTATAGGGCTGTAGGGTTGTAGGGCGCCATAGGGCGGGCCTATGGGGCTATATAGGTTTTATGGGCTATTGAGCCATAGAGCTATATGGTGTACGGCTCTTGGGCCATAGCGATATAGGGATATAGGGCTAGGGGGTGAGTGGGCTATAGGAAGTTTGCAGGACCATGCGGCTACGGAACGCCCGGGCGCTCCCTGACACTTGGGCTCCCGGGCCCGGCCACCGAAATCCACGACGGGGCTTACCCTGTCATATAAATCCGCTTGAATCCCTAGGAGGCAAATTCTCATTGGGGAAAGAAAGAGAAAAGGAAAAAGATCGAGGAGCAAGAAAATGAAAAAGAGAAAGGGCGAGGAGCACGAAGAGAAAGACGAAGAAGAAGAGCAAAAGAGGAGGTCCAAGAGGAGGAGGTCGAAGAAGGCCACGGGGAAAATTTCGTCATCGCCTAGCAGGTCGTCGAATGCACAGAGACTTCCCTTTACAACTGCCGGGCGGGAAGGAGCGCGACCGCGGCCGCGTTCTGTCTTGGCGGCCGTTGGGGGGTTCAGCACGGCCGTTTGGGGTGAACATAATTGCTCTGTGAGGTCCGAATGAGGAAGAGGGTGAAGAGGAGGAAGGATCACATGCAAGAGGTCGACCAAGGAAATTTCGTTATCGTCGAGCAGGTCGTCGCCATGAAATTGTCGAGGAATTTCGTTGTCATCGGCAGGTCGTCGTCGAAATGTAGTACCGCTCTATTGGCTGCAGGAGGCCCGCATATGACAAACGGAATAATCATTATGATCGCGGGTTTGGTCCTTAAAACAATGCGGAAGAATGTCGGGAATATTATAGGCTTCTCCGTATGGTTACAGCAATGTTTTTCAATCCGGTGAACGGGGTACGATTACGCAATCGAAAGAAATACATATTATTATAATCCGCGCGAATACAAAATCAATGCAATACAAATTAGACAAAACCGGATTTCACCGCTAATCCATAAACGAATTCCCGACATATCTCACCATTATGTATGTCCCGCTAAGGCCGACTCACCAAACCGGCTTTCCCACAAAAACAAGCTCTAGACTTGAAAACGGTTTCATCTTTAAGCCTTCCGTCCTGTTTGAACCGAATTTCCTGTTAAAGCAACCTCTCCCATTAAACCTAGTTTTCTTTTTGAAGCCAGCTCTCCCGGCTCTCCTGCTTAAGCCGGCTATCCCGCTTAAACCGGTTCCCCGGCATAAGCCGGATCTCCCGCTGAATTGGTAAGCTAACACTCTCTTTCTTTCACCGACTTTCCCGCTTAAACGGGGTCTCCTGCAGAAGCCGCACGTCTCTACAATTCCTTCATTTGCGCGCCCCGTTGCTGCCAATTACAGGTCTCCCTGCTGCCAATTGCGAGCCTGCCAATTGCGAATCCCGCTGCTGCCAGTTACGAATCCCGTGCCAGTTGCGAGTCCCGTCGTTGCCAGTTCCGAGTCCCGTTGTTGCAAGTTGCGAGTCCCATTGTTGCCAGTTGCGAGTCCCATTGTTGCCAGTTGCGAGTCCCGTTGTTGCCAGTTGCGAGTCCCGTTGTTGCCAGTTGCGAGTCCCGTTGTTGCCAGTTGCGAGTCCCGTTGTTGCCAGTTGCGAGTCCCGTTGTTGCCAGTTGCGAGTCCCGTTGTTGCCAGTTGCGAGTCCCGTTGTTGCCAGTTGCGAGTCCCGAGTCCCGTTGTTGCCAGTTGCGAGTCCCGTTGTTGCCAGTTGCGAGTCCCGTTGTTGCCAGTTGCGAGTCCCGTTGTTCAGTTGCGAGTCCCGTTGTTCAGTTGCGAGTCCCGTTGGTGCCGTATATATATATATATATACATACACATACACACACGTACATATACGCATACACAGACATATATATATATATACACGTATGTGTGTGTGTGTGGTAGAAATGGATTTTATATTTAAAATAATTTGAATGAAAATCGTGGATCGCGTGTTGATTCGTATGATTTGAAATCACTTAATTTTAGATTTAAATTTCTCGCATTTGCATCGATTATTCAATTTAGAATTGTCTATAAGAAAAGAGAAAGAACAAGCGAAAGAAAAGATAGTGTAATAATCGACAAAAGCAGGACAAACGAGAAATAAAGTTGCACACGAGAAGAAAGAATTCTGAATTTTTAGAAGCAGAAAAAGAAAAAGAGAGTAATCCAAAGAGAATTTTTATATATATATATATGTATATATATATATATATATATATATATTCAAGTTATTGAAGATTTTTATTTTCTTTTATCAAAATTATTACTACATGTTGGGAAAATTTTCTCATTTTTGTTCTTCAAGTATTCAGAGAAAAAGATTTAAGAGCAAACTTCAAGTTTTAGTAGAACGATATTCATCTCGCATTTCAGTGGTTTGCAAAAATTGATTACAGTGTTTCATAACATATATTCATTCTGAAGATAGTGTTGTTTCGAGATATATATATATATATATATAGTTTAGTATAGCGTCGAAAATGAGCAGATCTTCCAACAAATGCAGAATTTATCAGCACGCCTCTGGCCCGTTGGGCCGGCGAATACCACACAGAGCCATAATTACGCTTGGTGTTTCCGCATGGCTACGCCAAGGCAGGCACGCCTCGAAGCTGCATCGAATGCCAGTAGGAGCGCATGTGGTGTGCATATGTGTTGGTATTGACCTCGTGTGCTGGTTGAGGCAGATGCATTGGAAGTCCCACGTTCAACCAGACGATATGCCACAGTATGACACGACCTTGTCAGATTGGCGGGATGCGAACTCATTGCTTCGATTGCAATCACCTGTTGCGTATTTGTCGTGATCGTTTTACGCCTGTATTTGTTTGAAGGCTATGGCGATGAAGTGGACCACAGCACCAGGGTGCGGTGTGGTTGGGGTGCCCACACAAAGCGCGTCTATACGTCGCGAGTAATGGGCCCATGAATGATGCCGAGATACCCCATTCCATGATCACCATAGTCCCCCTGGACCGCGGGACGCTATACGTTGCCAGTTTTCCCCGACTATCTTGTTTTGAATTGGCTGTTTGGCTTTAGTTCGCAGCGCCCCGCGTTCCATTCCTTCCTTCCTCCGCCTCATGCCTGTGCCCTCCGCACGCCCATGCCGGTACATCTCTCATACGCGTCGTTTCCTACAGGGAGCTCTACCGACGCCCCCAGGAGGTGGTACCGCATGGCGTCCCCCAGCCCGTTTCGGTACACCCCTCACACGTTTCGTGGCCCCATCAGGTGCTCCGCCGAAGTCCCTACGGGGTGGTACCGCATTGCGTCCCCCCTAGAAGTTCGGCACACCTCTGACACGTTTCGTTGCCCCATAGGAAGCTCCACCGAAACGCCCAGTTGGTGGTACCGCATGGCGTTCCCCTGACCATTTCGGCACCCCTCACACGCTTCGTGGCATCATGGGAGGCTCCACCGAAGCCCATAGCGTCCCCTAGTCCATTTCGGCACAGCACTCACACGATTCGTGGCCCCATAGGGAGCTCCACCGAAGCCTGCAGGGGGTGGTACCGCGTTGCTTCACCCGTCTGACATCGTCGGAGGCTTTCTTGGGCCGCATTGGGTCCCTCTTGGGGCGTTGTGGGGTCGTTTTGGAGGTCTCCTGGGTTGTGGTCCCTCTTGAATCCGTTCTGGATCGTCTTGGAGCCTTCTTCGTGGGCCTCTGGGGCGGTCTTGTCGTCATCTGGGGGCCTATTGCGCCGTCCTTGGCTGTGAGAAGCCCAACTTGGCGAGAACGCCAAAATTCGTCATCCGCTTTTTCTGAAAATCACAGGTTTCAATGTTTGGAGCCCGTCTGGAGGGCATGAACCATCTCGGGCAGTATTGAGGTCATATTGTGCCGTCTTGAGGCCACATTTTACCGCTTTGATGCCCTATTGGAACAGCCTAGGGCCGTCTGGGCCCGAAAAGGCCCCCACGAGTTGTTGTGAGTTGTGGGGGTTAGTTGGGCTGGTGCGGATACGCGAGCCCCACCTCAACCCCCCGCTTTGCGAGAACATGCCTTATGCTGTCCTGCCGTTATTATTCCAACCCTCCGAGCTTTCTACCTAGTCAAGGCCACTTGGGGCTCCTGAATGTAGATTGTGCGTATCCTCAACAGCCCCTCCCAGAACGATGCTTGTGCGAGATGTCGAGAGAAGGGAAACTACGAACCATGTATTAGAATAAAGGTGCCAACAACGTTCAATTTGGATACCTGCTGAAGGCTTCTTGGGAAGCATCCGAGTTTACAAAGGTGACAGTTTCCATTAGTACTGCCCCCCTAGAGCTCGAAGCATTGCTTCATGGTGCCCTATTGAGGCGATCTTGCTCGTGGCACCTCTTTGGGGCTTCTTGGGCAATGTTGGGGCCTCCCCGGGGCCTCAGAAGCTGATCGGATGCGAGAAGACGAGAATACGCAAGTCATTAGAAAGCATTATATGATGAAAGATGTTGGTTTCTTGATTGCATCCATGGAGGGCTCCGAGGCCGCGTGGGGCCATATTGGAGCATATTGGACGTGTCAGGGTCAATGTTGAGTCAACTAAGACTAACGCGCCCAATCTCGGTGGCTACCCGAAGGCATCTGGGGCGATATTGCAACCACGTTGGCCCATCAGCCCCACTATAATTTTTCCGAGAGCTTCAAATCCTTCAAAAATCTCTACGGCCAAATGATGCTGCTAATACAAAAGAGGGAATCATTGTCTAGGCTTCCTGGAGCTCGACATAATTGACTCTCCTTGGGGCGCTACTGGGTCGCTGTTTGGGCTATTTGGGGCGCGCTTGAGGCCATACTGAAGCTTCGCACGGCCATTGGAAGCGAAAAGGATAGAACATAAGCATCAGTGATAAGTGTTACGCTTTTCAGTGCTGCGTTATTGGGAGGCTCCGTGGCCTCTTGGTGTCATATGGGCTCGACCTGAGGGCCTATTGCAGGCATGCTGGAGCCAACTTTGATCCATATTCGAAAATAGCGTGCCATCTTGGAAGAAATATTGGGGTACATCGGGCCATACTGGGGCCATCCAGGGCCATCCGGGTCGTTGTGATTGCCACACGCTCCCCCCCCCTCGGCCAGACCCGGGGAACGTCGTAAAGGGAGGGGTAAACACTTGCCCGAAGAGGAAGTTGAAGGACCCACGACCCCGGTAATGCAATCAAGTCGAAGAACATGTTGTCAGATTGCTCTGGCGACGCCTCCTTGTGTGAGAGTGTCTCAGGCGGGAGCCATGCTCTTAAAGGTACGTCTAATTCGGGAGCTCATTGGACATGTTTTTTTCTCCTGAGGATGTCTGCAGCGAAACGCCACACCACATCAAGTTCGATAACCAACACCCGAGTTCAAAGTTTCAAATGTCTGAGGACTTCCCATGCGTAAGCTTCATGTTTGAGAACCAACGACGTAACTCCTCCAACATCCCCATTGTGAGAGGATATCTGAAGCGAAACGCCCCCCACTCCATGTTGAATATGCGATGCCCGATTTCCAACAGATCGTTCTTCTGAGGATGTCCAAGTCGGAAGCCCCGCTTTTGACAACCAATATCGTAGGTCACTTCCTCCGACATCCCCATGCTGTGAGGATGTCTCAGACGCAACGACCCCCCAGACTACGTTGGAGATCCGAAGTCTGATTTTTCTACATTTCAAGTGTCTGAGGATGTCTCAGGCGAAAGCTTCATTTGTCATAGCCAACGTCTTAAAACAA